ACACAATAGTGAGAACTAAACTGTGTCTAGTAATATGCTGTGTAAGTTCTATTGTCTTGGTTTACACAAACGGCTAAATAATTCAAGACAACATGTTCACTGGTTAGCTAGTAAATCCGATAGTGTCTCACAAGAGAAGGTTCAAAGCCAAAAACTACCTATCCTTTGCAAAATATTTCCAATTTCTGTACTCTCTGTAATTAGATCATGTTGTTGCATGGGCTCCAAACGTCTTTGAGCCCAATTTTGAGTGAGCTCCAAACGTCTTTTGGAGTGGGTCCGAAAATGTGATGTGTTCCTTGCCTCATAGCAAGTCACACGATGAAGACGGTTCGTCAAAACCATTTATGAGTGAATGGGAAGTTGATGTCGGTTTCGTGGTTTGTGGAATGGACATTTAAAGAATTAAATGTAGGTTTCCTTGTTAGGTTTGTCCCACATTGAAACTTTAAGAGAGCTTATGTATATATATAAGCTCTTGGTGTACTAACTTGGGTTGAGCCCCAAGGGGCACTCCAAGTTATAGAACGGATGAGATATGGACAAAGTGAACCTTAGCCCAAACCACCACACGCGCGCGTCGTTGCCGTATGTCCGACCGGCCCAGTCGAGTGTGGGTCGGGCCGATGCTTATATTAATTTTTTCCATTTTTCTTGCAGGAAAAATTAATTTAAATTTTGCACCAATATAATTTGAATTCGAATTCAAATTCAAATTCAAATTCAAATTCAAATTTTTGTCCATTTTTGTGCCTCTTTTCAAATCCGAATTCCACACAAGTTCAAACTGTTTTACAGTTATAAAACTGTCTAGACAGATTCAGATCTGTCCAGCAGTTACCAGTAGCAGTTATCTGTTTGAATCTGCCTCCAGATCTGTTTGAATTCAAACGATATCTGTTCAATTCAAAATTACACATGTTCACTTCTAATTTGTACTTGTTCGGGTCTGTTTGTTTTTACCTATAAATAGAAGGCTGTTCCAGTAGTTTTTTGCATCCAAAAACAATCTAAAAATTTCTTTTTTGTAGTTTATTTTGCTCTTTCTTTGCATAATTCTTCATATTATTTTAGGAAAAAATTCAAAGAGGTTAGAACACAAGTTTTATTCGCCAAACAAATTGTTTGGAGTACAAAACAATTTGTGAAGATCATTGTATCCTGGGAGATAGATGTCATTTATCCGTAAGCACCGTAGTGGAGCGAATCTGTCTTAAGGACAGAGTGTCACACACTCGACTTGATCTTTTAATTATTTATTTGGTTCGGTAAAATAAATTCAGTAAGTAATTTATTTTTTATTTGTTTGATTTGTTTCAATTTATTTATTTTACACAGAAGATTGTTCCAACATTATCATCAGGCAGTGGTTATATGTGGTTGCTTCAAGTTGGTAATTTGTTTGCTGCAATCCCATTTTAAATAATTAATTGCACATACAGCATGGGTTGGGTCCTCCACTAGGTGTTCAAAGAGAGCTTTGTTACGGTGAAGTCAAATACCCCAAAGAATTTTGATTGATTCAATAATAGCTTCCTAATTTGGTACTACTTTTATCCATTCTTGAAACCAAGAACTCGACAATAACTAATCTCCGACATCAAAATTCAACCCCAATCTAGAACCTCTCCAAATACGCTTCGAAAAGGGGCAGCCTAAAAATACATGATCCAGAGTTTCAATTTCCTCTTGACATCTATGACAGGTTGGATCAATTTGAATCCCCCGTTTGATAAGAGAAAGACAACGGGCAGAATTCTATGAAGAAATTTCCAAATAAACATTAACCATTTGGTTGGTAGATTTAGTTTCCAAATCTTTTTCCAAACATTAACGGCAATGCTATTCCCATTCCTGAATTCCCTCGTATGGTTTTCTAGCATTAAAAAATACACCCACTTCACAGAATAAGGCTAAGGTTGACTACTACAAAATAATCTATCTTTTTATATTTTTATATTTTTTTATCACATCATCTCTATTTTTCTACATATTTTTTTGTACATAGACAAAAAGTACACTTATTTAGGTCATCCCAAACAACCCCTAAGTGTCATCTTATATTACTAGGTACGGCCCTGAGGTTTTCAAGACTCAAAGTCAATAATCAATTAATAAATTTTTCGGGTCCTTCACATTTTTTTTTCATCGAATGAAAAAAAAAATGAAGATAAAAGACAGAAAATTTGTGTCAAAATCACAAAAAATACTTAGTATTACATTACAACAATTAATAAGTATCGCTTGATTCTCGCTCTTCTTGCATTTTTAGAAGCAAATAAATCAATCATACTTACATAATCTAGTTTTTTTGCAAAATCATTTTCAATGGATAACAATACTAATTATTTTAAATCAGCATTTCAATTTTTTAATGTGTCAATTTATTTTTAGTTAGTTTGGGTCCTTAATTTTTTTTTTTTTTTGATTTAAAATATACCTAATATATTACAATAAACTATAATAAGAGAATATTTTTTTTGATCTATTTTCAATGGATAACAATGTTAACTTTTTTAAATGGTCCTTTCAATTTTTTAATGGATCAATTTATTTTAAGTTAGTTTGAGTTTTTTTTTATTTTTTTTAACTTAAAACATATCTAATATATTATACTAAATCATAATAAAAGAGAAATTATTTTTTAGACCTATTTAAAGGGACTTAGGCGATGGCTTGTTGGCCCATGCCCAGAGCTGGCACTGTATATTACTAGCATAAACTAATAATGTCTTGGCTTTGCACATGATATCATTGCTCCAGTCAATGCTGAGTAGAAGGACAAGTTGAATCAAAGGAAGAAGGCTCAATTTCTTTTTCTTTGTGACATCATTTTGAGTGTTTGGTGCCAAAAAAAAAAAAAAACAAAAGGAATATAGGAAAACAAATCTGAGCAGAAACAGCACATAAAAGGCAACTATAAATTTGCATACATGTGGAATAAATAGAACAAATAGAAGCAAGCCAAATTGGAATACAAATAGAATAAAACTAAAAATTATCTAAGCTGTCAAGGTGTTTCCTATGTCAATGACAAATCGATAGCGGATGTCCCCTTTGGCAAGTCGTTTCATGGCTGTGTTTACGTAGTCTATTGGAATAACTTCAACATCTGCAACAATGTTGTGCTTTGCAGCAAAATCTATGATTTCTTGTGTCTCTTTCAACCCTCCTGAAATGCTTCCTGCTATAAGCTTCCTCCCTGCAATTCAAAATCAACTTGATTTCATTAATTTACTAATATATAACTACTTTTTAAAAATCATGATTCGTGCACCTAAGAAAATAACTAACTTGCAACAACCATGCTTCCAAATATTTACTTTTTATATTACTAGGGGCATAAACATATATTTTTCTAAGTGATGAAGCAATTAATGCCTTGCAAGAAAATTGCAAACTAGCATGACTTGCATGGTTTTAAATATCAACTGATATGTATAAGATCTTTGATCTTTCAATTCAGATACACTGGAAAATCTCGTGTATCAAGCACTTCGTGTATACGTAGCGATCTATAATCGGTTCATAGACAATACATCTTTTTGCAACTAATGGTTTTTTTTTTTTAATGGTCTCAAATTGTTATATATGACTAACTGGGGAGATACTTCTGGAACATAATTGGAGGAAGTACATGAATATATTAGGTTAGGCTCTTTAAGAGAAACTGAACACAACAGAGTTAATATCAATTACTCTCCCCAAATTTCCCAACTGAAAATAACGTAAAACAGTGTAAATCTGACGTAAGTAGTGTTTGTTGCATTCCAACAAACCAGATCTATACCTTGATAATATATTCTAGATATATATATTATTTATTGTATTCATTTCATTCTCTCTCAAATTATTATTTTTACAAACAATAACTTTATAAATATACATGTATAAATACATATAATTTTAAAATATTTTAAATGAATGTATATTAATACTTATTTTTTTAATTAGTCTATAATATAATTTTAAATATATTTATTAAATAATTATAATATTACAGTTCAATTTCAATTGACTCAACAGCTAATTCAATGACTCTTGATTCAGCCACTTTTTCAATTTAATCCTTTTTGATTTGATCACTTTTTCAATTTAATCAAGGGTCTGAATTTGTACAGTATTATTGAAATATATTTTTTTTAAGCAGAAGTGATTAAGACCCCTCTAACGGGGTCATCCCCACGACCCCACAGACCTATGATTGGCCAAATTTTTATTTTTATTTATTTATTTTTTCTCCTTCAATCACCAACCCCGTGTGTGTAGAGGTGATGGGGGGAGAGGTCCGGATCATTTTTCTTTTTTAAGTATAAAATTGATGTATTTGTATAGTCTCCAAACTTGAAAGGGTCAATATTGGTTGGTTGATAGACGGAAGAGCTAAAATGACAGATCAAAGTCTTGTTTCAGAGAACGATGCCAATCTAAATACACTAACCACATTACTATGTTTTGGTATTTTTCAGCTAAGAATTGTCAATCCATCACTTGTCATACACCAGTAACAATATTCATAAAGAATTAAGCTTCCGACCCCCAGTGGGGGTGCTGGCGTCGTGCGCTCACTGATTGACCAAAAAAAAAAACTGTTTCTTTTTCTTTTTTCTTTTTTTTTGTGTTTCAGTAAATGGGGCAGCTTTCAGTAAATAGCGCAGCGCCACGTCACTAGGGTGCGACCCCACTGGGTCTGAAGCTCGACTCATTCATAAAGCAACAATGATTCATCTCACTAAAAATATCACCACTAATTGCAATAATACATTAAAAAAGTAAAAAAAAAAAAAAATACAACTCCAAAATCAAAACATCACATCATTAATGGCAGAACCACTGCCACCTAATTAGTGGGAGCACTAATTAGTGCTCCCAAGCATTTTTCTTCATAAATACTCATGTAAGCAGTGATCACATATGAGGCACACACCACCCATGCAAAATTTTTGATAAATTTGTTTTTTTAAAAATTTATAGCATATTTGTTAAAAGAAGGAGAATGATTGATGCAAATGGAATCATTTATTGAATTGATGGATATTAGAGTAGTTTTAACTGAAATTACAAACACTGCCATCTCAACCCTCTTCTAACGACCTGGCTAACCAGCGAAGTACCTTCCGACCAAAAAACCACCGGCCATGTAGCACAAACGGTGGTTGATTTGAGTTCACCGTATGCAAAAACCTTCTTTGCCTATCTCTATCATGAGAAAATTTCCCCCAAACATCACTATATATACATATCATTACCCAAAGACTTCTCAAACACGATAACTGGCTTTAATCATACACAATGTCATGCCTTGCTAACAATCGGAATAATTTCACCTCCAATTACTTCCACTGCTAAACACAGTAAGAAGGTTTTAAGATCCGAGAACAAACGATCATTTTGCACTGGAAAAGCACGCACATGCTCTCACTCCAACAAAACAGAAAGACAGATGATTTAGGCGACAAGTAGACACTACTTGTAAAATATACACCTATAATAGATAAGTTAAATTTTTTTTTTTTTTTTTTTTTTTGAACACCAAGTTAACATATCGTTTGAAAATAGACTTAAAAGTAAAAAAGAGCCAAAAAAATAAAAAGGCCAGTCCTGATAATACAACTATGCCAAACCATGAATGTCAACTCACCGGCCATTGGGCTCTGAATGCCTGGACCGGCACCCCATCTGCTCAAGAAACTTCGTGAGTCGCACGTGCTTTCCAGCCCACTGCTCAGCCAATTTCTGTTCCTTGGCTTCTGCATCCCTCCTCAGTCCCACTAACTGTTCTCTGTATTCCGCTTCAATCCTATCCAGTGCAGCCTTCTGTTCTTCCATAAGAGCCCTTACTTTCGACTCTATCTCCTCCATTTTCTCTCGCCTCCGACAAGCCTTCTCTGATTCCAGTTGTAACTCCACCCTCTTTAACCTCCACGCCACTTCCTTTTTGTGTGCCACCAAAGCACGGTGCCCTTCTTCCAATTCTCTGCAGCATTCGGTAAGTTCAGAAATCAGCAAGTTCTCACCACAAGGAGGCGGTGTTGACCCATGCGGTGGCAAATTGCCCAACACACGATGGTTATTGTCGGGTCCTCTATCAGGCTGCAGCCAAGGAATTGCAGGCGGGGGGGCAACAGTTGCCGGAGAAAGAGACAGTGTTACAGAAGGAGAGGGTGGCCGTACATTGGAGGCAGTACTAGAATTGGAAAGCCATGGAGGAAGTAAATTTGGCGGTGGAGGAGTGGGTGGGTCGGGGTGAAGAAACCCTCCGTTTGAAGTCGCCATGAGGAATGTTGGGGCAGGGCGTTCTTTCACCAACTTCTCCGCGAATGTCTCTAGAATCCGGTCGTACTTGCCCTCTTCGGCCGGGTCCACAACCTTGTTGTTGTCCTTCTGTTCTCTCTGTTGCTTCTCTTTAAAAACTTCCCACCACTTACCGAGTCTCTTGGCAGTTCGGCCAGGGACTTCAGCTGCAATTTTTTTCCATTTGTTGCCGTGTTTGGCCTGAAGACGGATGACGAGGCGCTGCTCTTCTTCGGTGAGGGAACCTTTCTTGATGCCCGGTTTGAGATAGTTTTTCCACCTCTCCAAACAGGATTTGGCGTCTCTGTCAAGAGGCGTGTTCATGCGCTGTGACACAAGGTTCCACTCCCTTGGTCCATACTGTTTTACATACGCACGCAACAGAGCATCCTCTTCAGGTCGCCACCGCTGCCTCTCCTTCATTTCCAGGTGCAGACACCGATGCCCATTGCCTCAAACTCGTCATAGCGTATCTGATAACAAGTATGGAAACAAAAAAAAAAAATCAATGTAGGATAGAATTGAAGATTTCATGGCATAATGGCCAGATCAAGAAGCTCAAATTATCAAAAAATTGGTCTTTGAAACAAAAATGCTAGATTTCTAATGATGAGCCAAAAAGAAAGCAACTTTTCCATCTTACATATAGAACTCTCGACGAAATGGCGACCAAAAGTAAATTAAAATAAGATACAATTCTACACAGGAAGATCGGATGATCCTAACCACATGATTTCATCATATGTGTCTTGTAGCAAGTTCTCAAAATCACACTTGTCTATTTTTATATTTTTTATGCTAAATTAGATAACTAGAATTATCAAATCAATATGAATTTTCCCATAAATGTATACATACATGGGCCTAAACAATGAGATCATGAAATTCACCAAACTCCTTCAGCAGAGAACTTTACGCAATTAACTTAATGGATCTTCAATTCCTCAAATATAGGATCGTTCATATCAAACAAATAGATGTATTCTAAAAGTTATGTTTGGATCCTAAATTATGGAGTGATTTGCAAAGAAAAAGAAAAAAAGAAGACAAAAGTGAGTGAGATATGAAGGGTGTGTTTGGTTTGTTTTTGAGAGAGTGAATTTCAAAAAAAAATGGAGAGATAGAGTTTAAAAAAAATTTGGTTTGTTTGATTGTATATTTTAAAAGTAGTTTTGGAGTTTGGAAATTTAGAATGATTTGATATTTTGTTGTAACTGAATAGATGTGTGTAAAAAAAAAAGTGATTAAGAAGGAGAGAAAAGAAAAAAAAAGTAATTGATTGATATGTAGGAGAGAGAGTGATTTTAGAAATTTTTTTAGAAAAATCGCGAACCAAACAAAATTTTGAAATTTTTTTTTGAAGAACAAGTCTCTCATAAACAAACCAAACAAGCCCAAAGGCCTTGTTTAGTTTGTCACTTAGAGAGATAATTTTTGAGAAAAAATTTTAAAAATTTGTTTAGTTGAAAATTTTTGACAAAAAAAAGAAAAACAAAAATCCAAAATCACTTCTCTAACACACATCAATTAATCACGTTTTTTCTCACACCATCTATTCAACAACAAAAAAGATAATAATAATAAAAAATTAAATCATCCCAAACTTGAAAAATTCAAAACAATTTTCAAAACATATCACCAAACAAATTTTCAAAATTTATAAACTCTTCCCAGAAAATTATTTTTCAAAAATTATTCACAAATACAAACAGGTTTCTTTTTCTCTCAACTTTTCCCTTCCCTTTTGTTTTCCCCCATTACCCTTTCCTTCTTTCTCCCTCCCATAATCCCAATAAGTTTGAAAATGAATTTTGGGATTCAACATCCGATTAAAGATGATCCCTTTGGTTCACTTTTAACATGAAAAGCACTCACTCAAAAGTAAGAAAACCATACCTAAAAAAAGTACACATTTTCATAGCATTCACTATATTCAGTTTTCAGTAGTAAACAAGCTGAATTTTTAGCTTCAACAGAAAATTCAAGGTGGAAGCCTTTGAGCATGATTTTAAATAATGGTATTGGACAATATTATCAGCAAATAATAGTATGAGAAGCCCAAAATCCCAATATGTATTGGCCAATATTTAAAACTTTACCCTGTAGGCATTGATATACAACTTGGTGCCAAAATCAACAAGAAGGGTCTCCTAAATAATTCGAGAAAAAAAAATTAAAACAAGAAGAAAATAAAGAGCAGAGAATACCCAAAACATCAAGAAAATTTGATCTGTCTGCAATCTATCAAGTTAAACCATGATAAGATTGACTACATTGACTCATACTTTGAAGCATTTGGGCCCTGTTTGGGGAGAAGAATACAAGATGTGATATCCAAATTATAATCATTTTACTTTTTTTTATCACCCTCATCAAATCAACTTTAAAATATAAAAAAACAACCATCTTCCAAACACAACTTTTCAAATAACACCCTAGAAAAAAAATTAAAATTAAAAATTAAAAAACTAACTGAAGTAACCAACTTCCCAAACAAGCTCTTGATCTGTCTACAATCTATAAAATTGAACCATGTTACGATTGACTACATTGACTCATACTTTAAAGCAACTTCACTACCAAATTCTATATTACAGTAGTAGTTAAGTACCATATTTTTTTAGAATTAAAACTCAGAGATGTGATTAACCCAAAAGCAAATAATAATAAAAATCAAAAAGCAAATAATAATAATCACCAGTCAGTCCGTACGGTTTTAGCGTCTCAATAGTAATAAAAAAGCAAATAATTTCCACAATATGCTTAGAGAAACCTTAGAAATTATTGGGTTTCCATCCAATAACATTTTAAAAGTAAAAAAACAGAGTCCGTCTTTTTGTGGTCAATGCTCTTGCCATCAAAAGAAAGATAAGTTAAGCCAAAGAGTAGCCCTTTAAACAGAAACATAGATATATAATACACAGAGAGAGAGAGAGAGAGAGAGAGAGAGAGCAACAAACTACAATTGCATTACTTGTTTCTTCAACAAAGAAGAAGAAGAGCTTACTGTTCAGTTTTAAGAAACCAAGCTTGTCCATCAGTGCATTTCCTGTTCGATTTTGTCTATAAAACAGAGCAAGAACCAAACCCAAACCCAAAACCAAACAAAGATCGTTACGGAAAAACTAGAGCCTAGAGAGAGACTAAGAACAAAGAACAAAGAACAAAGAACAAAGAAAAAAGAAAGAGAGAACAAAAATGGAGAGCAGAGTGGAGGACAAAAGATTAGAGAGAGAGAGAGAGAAAGAGGATCTGACAGTGGCGGAAAAGGAGGGCACGCGGAGGAGAAGAAAAGGGCTAAAAGAAAAGGGCTAAGGACGAGATTTCAACCCCCCTCTCTCTCTCTCTCTCTTGGTTGGCTGATGTGTATAAGGGAATGTGCTTACGTGAGTTCCGGTGGTGCTTCCGACGAAAAGGCTATATATATACAGAACAGAGTGAACGATATATACGTATAGAGAGAGAGAGAGTGAGAGAGAGAGAGAAACAGAGTCCTCTGCTTTTTCTGCAGTATAGCCAGGAGAGAGAGGGTGTACGCTCGAATTCAGCGCTTAAAATGGGTCACATTCCGTCATATCTCTTCGGCTCTTTAGTTCGTTTTCTTCTCGGAGAGTGGGTAACATGACAGCCTTGTCATTCTTTAGGATGACAGGCTAAATCTGAAATCAATGGGTGTTTAATTTTGGAAAATAATTCTTTTGAAAAGAATTTATAAAATTTAAAAATTTATTGGATAGTATATTTTCAAAATAATTTTGTAATTTTGGATCGTATATTTTCAAAATAATTTTGTAATTTTAGAGATTGAAATGATTTAATTTTCTTTTGTATTTGAATAAATTTGTGAGAAAAAATAATTGATTAATGTGTAAGACCATCTCTAATGATTACTCAAATCTTTCATCAAATTTAAATTTGATGAAAATTGAGTTTTTTTCTTACTCCAACGATTGCATCAAATAGGTATCAAATTAAGAATTTCACTTTTTTTTCATTAAACTGAGGATAAATGTGTTTTTCGTCAAATCACTATTCATTGTCGTTGCCGAATGTCCCCCCAAATGTCTTTTCGGATGACTAACTCAAAGTAAAAATTTGTGAAAAAATTACACTACTCGGTCAATCATCTCAAGGCAAAAATAAAAATAAAAATAAAAAATTATACTGGTCATTCAACCAGCTGGACATCCGCCCCCGATCATCTGCCTAATTGACTGGTGTTATGATACAACTCCAAAATCTTTCATTGGAACACTTAGGGTTGGTTTTGGGTGTCTTAAAAAAGTACATTTTTTGTCTTTTTACGAAAAGATGTGCAGAAAAGTAGAGAAATGATGTAATGAAAAAAATATAAAAAGATGGATTATATAGGTTATGCCAAACCTAGCTTTAATATCAAATGAAATTTCTTCTCAAATTTTATGAAAAAAATAATGTACCGTTAAAGATGTTCTAAGGGATGCTTTTGGAAAGATGATTAAAATCTAGTTTTTAACTTTTCTTGACTTTTTCTAAAAAAATGTGAGAAATGATGTGACTTAAAATAAGGTAAAAGTTAAAAAATAACTTTTAATTCACTTCATAAAAAAAAGGCCTAAGATATGAGAGAAAAAGAGATGAATAAAAAGAAAAAAAACTTAAATTTTTTTTTTATAAAGTTTTCAACTAAATAAATTTTAAAAATTTGTTTTTTAAAAACTGTTTTTCAAAGACAAACCAAACTAAGGCTGAAATCTGGGAGGTGTGAGTGGTGGTGTGATAGTGATTGTTGTATCTTCAAAGGGTGCGAATTTTACTTCTGGACCTCCCGGGTCAGTAAAAGCGGACTCTATTGGAAAGTTGTTACGCTCAATTTTTGGCACTTGCATGCATTAAAATTGGAATAAAAAAACATTTAGAAATAAAAAAATATATGAAAAAGTTTTAAAATGTTTTGAAATTAATATTAAAAAAGCACTTTGATGTTTACAAATTCAAAAATTATTGTAATTTTTTTTCATATTTTTTTATTTGTAATATTTTTTTATTTTTTAAATATACTTCAAATATAAAAATATTTGTGAAAAAATAGTACATTTATGTTTTTTGGGGGGGTCTAATAAACCATGAATTTTAACATTTAATCTAGGTGGAAAGACTAAATTAATGTTTAAAAAAAGTTAATTTTGTATGACCTAAATTTATATGTTGAATATCCTAATTTTATTTATTTTTTGGTAAAATATTTATTTTTTGAAAATAAATTGACTTATTAATCGGTGACAAATGAACTATTTTATTAATTGATATAATCTAGTAAATAAAAAATAAAAAACACTTCTAAAACATAATTTTTAGATTTACACTCAATGATATCAAATGTTACATGCGAGTTGATTTGCTTATAAACCAGTCAAGTAAAACACAACTCTTGACATATCATTGTAGATAAATTTAAGGGTAAAATTTTAGGTTTTCTAGTATTACTCGTAAAAAAAAAAAAAAATAACATGGGGAAATTAGTGGGTACCCATCCCCAACCCATCCCCTGTGGATATTTAAAGAATATCACTTATCCTACCCAATGGATAAGAAAAAGAGG